TGTAACTTGCTCTTTAACATCACATTAGGGGTGTCCTGGCTGCAGAGGGACACAGTTCTGCCTCAGCAGAGAATGATGATACTGTGTCATCTCCACTGCCAGGCAGCATGGATTGGCCATCATCCTCTGCAGGGGCAAGTGGTGGATCTTAGAGAGGGGCACAGGGCAGAATCAGAAGAGCCCAGTCACATTCTGTCTCACTGCTGTCAGAGGAAATCTCCATGTGAGGAGAATGCTGGAAAATAGGCCTATCACTGCCAACAAACACACTCCTACTGTTGCATGCTCAGTGCTGAGGCGCACAGTGCACCACGGGTGTTGGTCTGCCATGCCAATCAGTTCAGGGCACAAAGGGAAAGTCTGTCTGTGTCGAGAGACAAAGTTATCCTTGACTGCTGAATTGTCTCTCTGGAGTTCAGTGTTGTTATGTCTAGTCCTAAAGGAAGGAAGTGCATACAAAATAGGGTCAGAACAGCCATTTTCTGCCTTCAAAGGCTATTTGCAGGCTGATCATTGATTGGCCGACCCGGAAGAATACAAAGTTCAGTTAATAGTTCTTGTGGTCAGGTTTAGCCATGAAGTGGTTAGTGGGTCCTCTGTTAATGGAGTACACCTTTGTTACATTTTACCAATGATTATTGTGCAAACAAAGCCACAAAGTGTTTGCACCTGATGTAGTAAAAAAGGGCACTCCACCAAGTACATTCTTTAGTGTTCGAGAAGTAAACTGTGAAAAACTGCATGATGTCTTTCCAATGGAAAGAAAATGTCTTCAAGGTATAACATGCTGGGCTAAGAGAGGCTTTTTTTCCTGAAGGAGTTAAAAACTCAGGGCATGGTATGCCTGTGAGTGATCTAACGAAATATGTTATTATTGTAGCATGTCTAAACTACCTATGAATTTTAATAAATTTATGAGAATATCCAATTATGAATTTTAATATTCAGACCATATTAAATCTATAAATCTCTCGTTTTGCGGGGCACCACCGGATTTGTTATTAACCTAGAGTCTCCGGACCTCTAGGTAGCTTTTAATAATTATACAATTATTCACCAGTGATAAGTTAGTTAATAATCGCTCAATTATCTTAAAATCAGTCAGTCAGTCTTATATCTAAAGGGTAAATTCTCTTGGCAGGAACTTAGAAATAGGCAACACACACAATTCCTTGGTTACAGTGAATTTATTAACTAACTAAGGTGATATAAAAAGGTGGTTAAATACATCAGAGAAATAAACAATGGCTAAACAATGAGAATGGAGGTTTGATTGTGGGAATAATTTGACTCATACGGCAGAGGAGAACTAATGAAAGTAAGCTATGAGTTTAGGAGTTAAAAAGGCAATATTAACACTATGGGACATCCCTGAATTGGCCGGTTGCACGGGTCCCACGCTAGCTGCCCAATCCTGGCTTTTTGCTAGGGGATTCTCCAAGGGTTGGCCGTCCTCCATCTGGCAATTCGGCTGTTTTTCTGGTGTCCTTCGTTGCCGCTGGCGAGACCACGTGGCTGGGTCTGACCTCGGTGAAATTAGCTCGACGAAAAAGCTTAAAAGGGAACTTGGTCGTTCCTGAATTAGTCCAGTGTAACTTAACGGACTGATAACTTTTAACAAAACAAAAGAAAGAAAATAAAACAAGTAAAGTTGCTGGAACTGAAGGAAACTGAAGTCGCGGCACTTCGCGTGTGTAGCTTCAAGCGAAACAAAGACTTTTGTTGCACTGGTCGAATTCTTAGGGCGTTGCCGGGAGGGGGCACGCCGGGCGCGTGCCGAAGCGTCCAGAGAGCAGAGCGAAGAGGAAGAGAGAGCGACGACGTCGTGTGTCGCTCTTTTGTTGTCTGGGGCGTGGTTCCCCAGAGGGCAGTCCTTCGTTTCCCGCAGGGAGGCCGTTCCCGGTTTCCCGAGGGACTGTCTTCTAAACTTTTAATATGTCTGTAAAGAAAAAGAAAATCTATTTGCGCGTATTATAATCAAATATTTCCCACAATCAAACCTCAATGGTCAAACGGTTGTACCGTTCTAAGTTTAAGCATTTGGTAACAGGAAAACAATTGTCAAATTATTGGTCATGATAAATAATGATAAAAACATTTATACATTAACGGCATTTCCGACGATGGTATGTAATACTTATTTCGTCCACTTGGGGGGAGCTCAGGTTACATGAGGAAAGCTTAGATTAATCCAAAACAATCTTCTCAGGAGCTGGAAAATTTAGTTATTTAGCCTTAAATTCAAGCTGGCAATTAATAGCGTGTAGTATGACATTTATCATCATTTCTAAAGGAATTGTGTCAGAAAGTATTGTGAACAAGCATTGGTTACCCATAAAATGAAGGAGTGTCCTTAATCTTGCTGAAAATTAAAACACTGCAAAAGTAACTTATTTAGATTATTTTCAGCAATAATATCAACAACAGATAGCAACAACATGGTAACATAACTATTCAAATAGAGGCAAACGTAATCAAGTAACTAAAAGATTATTTAATTAAACAGGTAATGCTTTGAGTCTTTGGAGACTGCAGTCTTTGTTTACATAAAGTTCAGGGCTGTCCTTGGTGTCCTGGATTTTGTCACACCTGGGTGAGAAGAAGTATCCCTTTGATGAGGTAAGTTTAGGGTTTCCTGCCCCCTTTTAAGGAGAGTTCTGATAGGCTGTTCAGGGAAATGCTAATCGCTGGTTAATGTCCCTTTTGTCAGTTTAACAGTCAGGCACCGCGTTATCAGGCTGCGGAATCAAAGGTGCCAGTTTTACGATCAGGCTGCTCAGGAATAGCACTTAGGGAAAGCGACCTTTCCACCCCCCTTTCTTTTGGGTCTCTTCAGCCGTCTGTAGAGGGTTGATAATCAAACCCCCTGCTTCTCTCTGGGAGAGAAAAGAGGAGTTGAGTCTCTAAATTATTTAATATAAAATGCACAAATCCACACTGTTGTTCACTACATTATATTGTATAATGGGACTGTAGGATCAAGTGTTTTTGGAGCTTGACCCATATTATTAGGATCTAAAAGTCAAGATATCTCAGCCTCTTCTATAATTTCTAATTTAGCCACACCAGCGGCCTGTTAGTCAGTCCACCACTTTGATCCAGACTGAAATATATATAATACAAAATTACTGAATGATTTTGCAATGAAATTTATTAAAACCATTAATGAAGGATGACGTCTAAATGACTTTGATGATCCTTCGACTTTTCCTATGGTGTCACCATCAAGTTGGCATTTTTGATTTTGAGTGAAATATCTCAGCCACTATTGGATGCATTGTCATGAAAATTACATAGCCTACATTCATGTCCCATCAGGATACCTCCAAAACTATTCCAAAACTATTGACATTCCCTTTAGCCTCAGTTGTACGTGTAGTTTAGTGCTAAGTAGAATGTTAACATGCTAACATGTTAAACTAAAATGGTGGTTCTGAAACCGAGACCGAAACTGTGACACAAAAGTCCACGGTCTTGTGTCGCGGATCCGAGAGACAGAACCGTGACACACCCACTCCCCGGACTGTTGAGCTCTCATTAAGACTGTTTAACTGTGGCGGCAGCGACCGGTTGGGGCGGTAGCGGTGTAGGTCTATGTCGTAATTGTATTGACAGTAGGTTATTCTAGGTCATTTTCCACCTTATTTTAGTGTTTATTTACTACTTGAATCTGCTTTAAAGAGAAGCAGATTCAAGTAGTAAATAAACACTTGTACACTAAATACGATCACCAATATATGATATGTGCCTAATCTCTAATATAGTTTCTCCATTAACAACACCAACAGAACCAAGTGAACAAAGAGGTCTAAGATCAAGTTGCTCTTGAACTGTTTGCTCTGGATATTGGACACCCCCAGTTGGTTTCCAATACCACGGACATTGCCTTGACCAACAGTCTGAGAAGGAATTATTTCCGGAAGCTCCAAGCACGCTACCGGACAGGAGGACAGTGAGATTAGAAGTCCTCTTCTAGCTGGGAGAAATACAATAAGTTAAGCCACCTGCTGGCTAGGAGTTTTTTTTTCAACTGGTGTTGCAATCTTCCTTTTTTGAGGTCGTAAGGCTGGAGACATCCTAAATGTTGTGGTTCCTCGTTTTTTTGTCATCCGTCTTTTGTTCTGAATGTTTCAAAGAGACCATTAATCACACCCACAGCCACACACACACACCAGTCTGTCTAGTTACTTCTTTTAGTCTTTCACTCATTATTTCATTTTTTTAGTTATTTCTTTCATTTTCTTTTTGTTATTTTGCACGTTCTCCCCCACCCCCAACCTCTTTCTCTGCCCCGTCAGCTCTGTATTTCTGTCTAACCTCTGTGCATGTTTCACAGCAGTCGAGGACCGTGTCCGCTCCCCGCCTGCTGCTTTCCAATGTTTGTTTGAAGTATTAGGGGGTTGTTGCCTCATTGGATAGAATTAATTGATTAATACTTTTATCCAATTAGTGCTCCCTCATGCAATTAATCAGCTGGCGGATGTTAGGGCCGCTCCATCAGTCGGACGAAAGGCAGACAGATGCTTTGGGTCTGGTGTGTGATGAACAATGACCTCTCTCTCCCTCTTCTCTCTTTCCTTCCTATTTTCCACACACCTGGTTTCCTGTCCTCTTTTCACTGTTCTGCCATTGCTCTCCAGCTCACAGCACATTGTTAGAATGTCTGCTGAACACAAACACAGTATGGGTTTTGTGGCTCACAGCACACAGAGTTAAAAAGAAAGGCAAGATGACCAGAAAGGTGGTGTTATTGATTTTTGTTTGTTTGTTTGTTTTAGAAAGGTGGTGTTAGAGAAATTTAGATTATTTTCTTTATTTCTTGTTTACAAATTGGAACACATTCACTATTCATGCGATAAACAAACAAACAAAAAATACAATACTATAAACACTGACTTTGATGCTCAGAATGACCTTTAAAAGTATCAATTGGTATCAAGTATCAAGATTCAGCCCAAATGGCAATTATGATAACAGCAATTTTCTTTTCTGTCTTACAGGTTCGCCTTTTCCTGCTTTTGACTCACTGATGGCCAAAGAAATACAGTAGGACCTTTGCAGAATAAACTTTCCAAACCTCTGGATTGTTCTGAAGGGATAAGCTATGAAGATCAAACAAAATCACCAACGGTAAAATCAGTTGGCCTTTTCTCAGTTTTCTTCAGGATTCTGCTTCAGGAGGCAAAACTAGTCATGGCTTTTCAAAGAACTGGACGATAGAAGAGCTTTCTTGGCAAAAACCTTCAATAGAGTAATTTTTGGACAGCTTTGTATTAAACCACCACATTAAACACGCACCAACCACTGGAAGTGAAATGGCTAGAAGGGAAATCAGAAGCACAGCAAGAAGTAAAAATGACAAAGTCAAGAATGGGTAGGAACCATCACTCTTTAAGGGCATGTTCCTTAATGCCATTGTATCCCTGTCTCCCCTTAGTTTCTCCACTGATGATTGAGTCAATCTAGAAACATCTGTTGCTTGAAAGACATTTTCCAAAGTCTGTTTGTTTCACTACATTAGGTCATAATTATAAAAATAAAAATATAAGAGACTCTATAAAGCGTGGCAGATATTATAGAATCAGAATGACCGACCACATTACAAAACACACAGGTACTCTGCGGGTGGTAGGAATCCAATATGCTCCATGACCTGCTCTGTATTCAGCAGATAACTTCAGATTTATTTGTGATCCCATGGATTAACTTTGAAGTCCTCACACAAAGACATTTTAAGTTTGTCCTGGTGGAGTTTTATTTGGTATACAACGACAAGCAACACACTCTTCCTATCTGCACACCTCTTGTATATTACATGTAGACCCAGGCCGGATTTCTTTCTTTTTTTTTTATTTTACTATTTTGTTTTTGTCAAAATGGCTCTTTTTTGGACAGCAGGGGCTTGGACACTGTTAGCAGCATTGGGACTTCTAAACTGCTGTAGTTTTGGCTGGTGTGAGTCCTCAAGGACTAGTGGTTCAAACTCAGGAGGGAGCAAAAAGGAGGAAGGACCCTCGTCACTTGAACGGGTTAAGAGAGGATGGGTGTGGAACCAATTTTTTGTGGTGGAGGAGTACACGGGCACAGAGCCACTATATGTGGGAAAGGTAAGACATCTATTTTTGTGATATATCTAAAGAACTTTTAGAATGTTGATTCCTTGAACTGTTTCTTTTGAAATGACTTTTTTGAATGTCTTTGAGGAGCAGAGTCCCAAGATGTAAAAATACAGCACGCAAATCTAGATATACAGCAAACTAAATAGGCCTCCAAGGGCAAGCATTTGTTTATAAATTCAGTTACTATTTTAGGAGATCCACAAACTGTAGTCAACACGATTTTTATATATAAAAATCAAGGTTTTTTTTAAAAACAATACAATCTCTGCAGTAAGGGTGCAATTAATGCAATTACATTGACATGGGTTTCCATTGTCTCCTGCTTGTAATGTTATCTACTTATGTGATTCAAAAGGTTACACTGCGTAAGTCATAGTTGATTTTATCTAGAAGTACACATACATACCAGAGTCTGTTCATTCATGTTATTGCATCAACTGACAGCTCCACATTAAAAAACAATAATACATTATACAAAAATATTTTTTTTCAGGAAAAAACTATGATCAGAGCTTAGTAATTTGATGGAGCTCCTAATGGTTCACAATGTAAACATGGAGCAAATACAGAATTTAGCTTATTTTGCTAGAGTCTAGTGCAGTATCAGAAGATTTGAGAAGATATCAAGAAGATATGAGCACTGTCTGGACTTAATGTGCAGCATATCTACAACCAGCTGTATCATTATTGTTAGTAATATTCCATTCATTTAACCCAGTACACTGATACACCTTAATCACAACAAAAACATACATTACAGGTATTAACTAATTGTGTGCCACCCCTAACAATTACCACAAGATGCTAGATTTCATTTTGTTGTATTGTATTTTATTGTGAAGCATTGTGAAATTTTGCATAGGTGTTTTGAACCGGTCTATAACTCATATAGATTTGGGCATTCTTTAGTATCAAAACTTAGTTAGAACCTAAAACTTCTTCGTATTATCAATGGTTCCTTTACTATGCCATATCCATTACATATGGGAAACACTGGCAGTTGGCCTGATTCACAAGTATTAATCAGAAAAATAACACATCATTTAGTGTGTAGTTTACCTACTGAGCTACGTATTGAGCTGCGTATTAGAACCATTGTAGGTATAAACAAATAATAGTAATAATACATAGCCAGGGGAGGGGGATAACATTACGAGTTATTTCGAGATTAGAGTCATTAATTTACAAGAAAGAAACTTTGGAAACACAATTGTGCTTATGTTATTAAAGGCTCTGTCCTCTATTAAAAACATGCAGGGTATGCAGATATTAATAACAATAGCTATCACATATAAGCTACTTTCACCAGCCAGAATTATGAGTGTTACGACCCAGCTCAGAAGTGGAAAGGGAAGCAACATAAACCAGATGGTTCAGGTATAGTAAATATATTTATTTATACAGCGAGTTTAACAAAAAAGGAGTTCAACCAACAGAAATGGGCAAGAGGGTGCTGTGTAAACAACTGAAAACAATATAACAAAAGGAGATCTCTAGAAACAAGATTTTTAAGTAAGTACTGAAAACAAAAGCATGAAACAAAAACCCTCTCTGTAATTCAAACCAAACACAAAGAGCGCAGCACTCCTAAACCTAATGGAACTAACATAAAGAGAGCTACATGTGTGCAAACAGAATCAGTATTAAAGCTAAACCCTGGCCTGGTTTCTGAGGAGAGGACACAGACAAATCATAGTTTATACCCGAGTAGGGGTTAAACAAACACACTAAATCTATCTACTAATTAGCTTCAACGTTGTCGTATTCTGCCTAAATACAATTGTGGCCGATATAAGTGACATCATTATGCTAACTTATTATTTAGGCTTTTCATATCATGGTTGTATCAGCAATAACAAGAAAATCAACAACAGTATTAATGAAATCAACAATATAAATAATATTTAACCTAATCATTTTATTTAGCCTACATAGCCTACAATAGTCTGTAACTTAGAAGAAAAGATTAAGAACTATTAGCGATTACAAGACATTTAGTAAAATAGGTTTAATCTGCAAGTATCTTCATGTCAACACTTAACACTATTATGAATCCCTTGGCCGCATTAGCCATCTAGATCTTGAGAATCGCTCAGTGTCTGAGCTTATCCATGTTCTCTATTGAGACAGACACGGGTTCGACTCCCGTGAGTTCTCTATTTATCTTTGTTATAAAGGCAAAGAAAACTCTCAGGGATTTATTCATTACAGTACTTTCATGAATTTTAATGTATGTATATATGTATGAAATGTATAAAATAAGGTAGTATTAAAAGTCTTTACATTCTCTGTTTTGTCCTTTAACCTTTGTACTGGATGACTAATATTAAATTAAGTTATTGTGGACAGAAGGGTAATCTGTGAGAAAAACACATGTTGTTCGTAGATGGTCTACTGAAATAATGCAACCCTACCCATGACCCGACAAATACATTTAAAAGCACTTTTACAACTACATTTAAAAATATATTGTACAGCAGGATTATCTAACGTTCCTTGCTTAAAACACATTACATCCACCTCCTAACATTGCGTTTTCTGCTATCTGTGACGTTGTCACCGTGAACTAAGCTTCTAACCATAGGTCAGGAACTGTAGTTCGAACTAACTTAACGACAGTTGGTGCCAACGTTCGTCGGAACTATGGTTTCGGGAAACACCTGCGTTGCTTAACGTACCATGCAAGTTACCAACTTAGTTACTTCCATAGTTCAAACGAGGGTTTTGGGAAACAGTTGCGTTGCAACTGCATAGTTCGAACCAAGGAAGTTGCTACCGTAGTTAGCAACGATGCTTTTGGGAAACGCACCCCAGGACGACACCCTATTTGAAGGTTGGAGCGGTCTTGCTGGCAGCTATGGTATTGGGGGAAGGGGTGGCGCATCGCTCCAATTAGCGTCACCATAGGCAGCTTCTGGATTGGAGGAAGTGGAGGGGTGCCGCTCCAATTGGCATCCTCAGACGACAAGCAGGATATAGACAGGGCTGGCAGTGGCCAGACCAATCTTCAGCAAGGAGCCACACAGCCCAATAAACAGTGACAGTTAAACACAAACAAACGTTGGTAGCCCTAACAATGACTTACTTCATTCTGTTCAAAGAAAGAAATTGAGGAAGAACTGTAGATATTTGTAAATGACTAAAATGTGACTTTTAAGTGGCTTTGTTGCAGTCCCTCATGTCTGTCTGTCTGAAAGCTTCACCTCTTCTCTTATATGTACATTGACTCTTGTATTATTTATTTTCTCCTAAATTTATGACTTTAATCAGAGTTTCTTTCTCTGAATATTACCCCCATACTTACAATTGTTTTCTACAATGACCCTTATACACTGTTCATAGTTATACATAACTACTGTGAGTTAAGTAATAAAAATATAATAACAAACTTTATTAATAGAGCACCTATCAAAAGTCAAATCAAAGTTACAAAGTGCTTTACAAGACCCGCACTAGATTTAAAACATTGTAGGCCTTACACCAAGATATAAAATCAAGCAATTTAAATGATACATAGTTTACAACATTGATGACTACGGAAGCCCTTTTTACTCCGTTTTCCCGTGATGACGGAATAATTATCTTGTGGTCTCAAGATAAAAAACCATAGCTGAATACAGGGGTCTGCAGGTGTGTTTCTTCAAGATAATTTCAGTACCTTGCTGTGTGATTGGTTAGCTTAGTTTGTAGAGTGGAGGATTTGTAATCCAAGGATTGCAGGTTTGACTCCTGCTTTTGACAGCATTTTTTGTTCTTTTGTGTGTTTTTTATTATCCTCTCCAACAAAGCTGTTATGATATCATCAGATATATACTTAGCTATTTCAAAGGTTCTGAAATAGCTGTCAGGAAATGTACAACGTTAAATGGATTCCCCTGAATGAGAAGCACAGGAATTTCCTCATTCCGGGAATGATGGGGAAATGAGAAGTCCATAGGTTGATAGATGTGGACCAATCGCCAGTCTTTTCATAACAACTTTGTTGAAGAGGATTATGGTTAAAAAAAAAACAAGTTGACCTCCTGAGAGAATTGAGCCCACAACTCCAAGAGTATGACTCCAGTGCTCTATCAACTGAGTTAACCAGTGACAATTTGTGAAATTACCATTAAATGTGTCGAATTACTGTTTTGTTATCTCAAGATCATGATAAAATTATCCCGTTATCACGGGAAAACAACATTCATTATCTCAAGATCACGAGAAAATTATCCCGTTATCACGGGAAAATGGAGTAAAGAAATGTTTGAATCGATGGCTGCTTAGGGCTTCCGTAGATGACAGTAAAGATGAAAGACAGTTTGAAAATAGAACAGTGCATTAGAAATGAATAAAATGGTTTTTTTTTAAAGTCATGTTTTAAAAAGTATTCACAGATCCTGCAAGCTTCAGGTTCTCGGGCAGGCAGTTCCAGAGCTGAGGGCCAGACTACAAAAGCCTGGTCACCTTTAGATTTGAGCTGGGATTTTGGAACAGCCAATAGAGCCCTGCCTGAGGATCTGAGGTTGTGTTCTGGCTCATAGGGGAGCAGCAACTCAGCAATATAGCTGGGAGCAAAACCATGTAGTGCTTTAAAAGTAATCCTATCTTCTAGTGTTTGTAAGCTGACCTGTTGAAGGTGTGAGATGTTTTTTTGGTTCAACCCTGTATAAAGTAAATTACAAAAATCTAACCTGGATGAAATAAAAGCATGATGACCTTCTGAAATAAAGCTTTGTTTTACTTTTAAACAATGACTAATCCAATACCCAAGTAATTCTATTTAATTCCATTTGTTTTGCAAATAAATGGAAGGAACTTGTCTTAGAGGCCCGGGTACGATTTTAACTCGAGAGCCATGCCTGCCTTTCCACCAGAGGTTCCAGGGTCTAAATGTAGTTCCATTGCTAGAATGCCTGGATCCCAAAAAGCCTCTGCTCTGGAGCAAGTACTTTCTGATTGCCCAGGAATCATCAGCCTCAATTCACTAGTCAAACATGTCTTCCATG